TTACTTCGTCATTGATCTATGATGAGTTGTTTGAAAATGATGGTTGAGTTCGTGCGAATTTTACTCTTCATTTGTGGGAACTGCTGACTGTTAGAAATTTTTAATAAATTTTGTTTGTTTCTTCAGCACAGAGTTACTCAATGAGCAATCAGTATCAAAACCTGGTTTTTAACGTCATGAGCCTCCAAACTTAGTGCTGAGACACTGGAGAGCGTTCTGATAAACATTATACAAAATTTAAATATCTTTAGGAATATGCGAAAAAATAAAATGGAGGAACTTTCAGTTTTTGGCTTAGTAAATGATTATTATTGATTTGAAATACTGTCCTCTTTCAGTGACTAGACTTCTGCTAAAAAGACTTACAACGCTAGAAACCGGGTTTCGATACCCGTGGTGGGTAGAACACAGATAGCCCATTGTGTAGCTTTGTGCTCAACTTGAAACTTAACCTTCTGTTTAAAAAAAGAAAAGAAATGCGACATTTATTAATTCCTTAATATAGCGTACTCTGCTGGTGGTTCGAAAAATTAATTTATCTATTACCAAAAATTTCGGGACAGCACAGCTAGTAACAGTGCCCTTTGACCAAAATTTGCATGTGAATCTCCTACACAGGGTCTTCAGCAACTGCCATAGCCAGTCAGTATCACGCTGTACGTACTGTATGATGATGTGACATGCTGTATGTACTGCATGTCGTGTCCAGTAATGATTTATATCTTACTTGTCCCCCCCCCCCGAAAAGGCTTGAGTTGAATTGAGACACTGTTTTCTAAAACTACTCGAAAGACGGAAAAGACCGCGAAATCTCACTTCGAGCTTTTTTCAGATGGAATGGCAATCTATTCCACCAGGTTTGTGTTAATGTTTAGTAACAAGTGTTAGTAACAGAGTTAACGCTGCGATGAATCCAAACTGAGAATAAGGTAAGACACATGACACCTCTCATTTTCAAAGTGTGTTACTATTGCTATTTTTACACGTTAGAAGTGTGATTTTATTTTATTTTTTGGCTCAGTAATTTCAGACACAAGAGGAGTGGTCACTCTATGATGTAAGTTTACACAGAATATTTGCATGAAATCCATGTAATTTAGTGCCTTGTAAATTATAGTTTCCAAGACTAACGTTCGAGGTTTACTTGTAAGGAGCAACTTAAACTATAATAAATATACTGCCATTACAATTTTAAAACTTCAAACAAAATATTATTTACTGCATATCAGCCGAAAGAACCACGATTTACATGGCATCCTAATTTTATAGGATGTCGATTTAATTTACATATTTTTATTTATAAAATTCTCCAAGTGTATAAAGGTAATC